TGAGCCCAGGGACAGCAGGGATTCACGACCCATTGACGACGACAAGCTCAAGTACCTGCCGCAAAAGTACGCCCGCCCCAGCAGCCGCGCAGGCCCTGATGATCGCGACCGCGACCAGCGTACTTCCCGCGCCAAGTCGCCACGGCCCTCTTCCCCTCCTAGTCAATACAAGTACGCCGAGCCGCCGCAATACCAGTACGGCCAGGTTGACGACAAGAGCCAACGCGGTTACGAGAAGCGCAAGGATGAGGATGACTTGACCTATGGCGCAGACCCATACGCACGTCGAGACGCAAGCCCTAATCCGGCCACCAGATACTCTCAGGCCCTGCCGTCTCCTGGGCCTTCACGGCAGAAACAGTATTATGGCGAGTCCCGGAGCGATGCGTCGAGCAACGTTCTGACCGTCGAGCCCGGCGGCGGTGATCGCCGAGGCGGCCGCCGCGACAGGTCACCCCAGCCGCCGCACCAGCGCATGTCTTCTCTGTCCGTCAACAACGCCCACGCCCCTGCTGCAGGCATGACGCTTGCTGCCGCTCCTGGCTCACCCCTCCTCGAATCCTACCGCGGCACCTACCAAGACATGTCGCCAATGCCATCACCTCTGCTGCTTGCTTCCAACGCCGGGCCGAACGTGATGGAGCCCCTCTCGCCCCTTGGCTCGGATGACGAGCGCGGCACGCGGAGACGCCGTGCCCGTTTCCATGACGATCCCGAGGATAACGCGACCCGCCTGGCCAACGCGCTCAAGGCACGAAGAGGATAGCGCGCCTGACACGAACGTACTGATCGAAATTTTGCCCGGCCTGAGCCACGAGCAGATTATGGAGCTGAGGACCGAGTACAAATCGATTGTCAAGACGGGCGCCGATCGCAAGGGCGTCAACATTGCCAAGCATATTCGCTCACGCCTCAAGGACGCTGATCCAAGCTTAATGAAGGCTTGCTATGCTGTGGCCCTTGGCCGCTGGGAAAGCGAGGCCTACTGGGCGAACTTTTGGTACCAGGGCGACAAGACGCGGCGGGAGTTGCTGATTGAGAGTTTGATGGGTCGTTCCAATGATGAAATCCGTCTGATCAAGGACTCTTTCAGCGATAAGAAGTACGACAATAGTCTGACAAAGTGTATGAAGACGGAGCTCAAGGAGGACAAGTTCAAGAAGGCCGTTCTCATGGTCCTCGACGAGCGCCGCATGGACGACGTCGATCAGTATGGTCGACGTTTGCCTCTGGACTTCCACCTCGTGGACCAGGATGTCGACGATTTGCGCCGTGCAGTCAAGAGCGAAAAAGGCGGCGAGTCACTCATGATCGGCATTGTTGTGCAGCGTAGCGACGAGCACCTTCGCGAGGTTCTCAAAACCTACGAGCGTGCCTACCGCACCAACTTTGCGCGAGACGCGCTGAAGAAGAGCGGAAACCTTGTGGTAGGTACTCCGTTGTGACCCTCAAGGGCGGATGATGTCGTGTGTGATTACGGCCATGCTGACTGCAGAACTTCAGGGCGAACTCTTGGCGCACATCCTGAATGGCGTCATCAACAAGCCTGTTCGCGATGCGCTGCTGCTGAACCACGCACTCACAGCCTCGAAGCGTGACGGCTTGCGCAAAGACCTGCTCATCTCGCGCTTGGTACGCTACCACTGGGACCATGCGCACATGGAGGCCATCAAGCGGGCGTACCGTGAACGCTACCGCGTTGACCTGCAAGAGGCGGTCCGGGAGGGAACGAGTGGTGAGTGGGGTCAGTTCTGCTACGAGCTGTGCATCTATCGCATGCCGAATGATGTGAAGAGAGTAGAGAGGGTTCAGGTACGGTGAGAGTGCTTGACGGAGGACAGAAAGCAGAAAGGCATTTTGACGTGAAATGAAGGACTGGGCATGTCGTAATGATGGGCTGCAAAGTCTCTTGAAAGTCAGATTAAGCCGGCCATGCCGGAACAGTATTACAGGCATCTAACCCCCTGCTGGATCAAGGGTGGCATGGATAAGAACGAATGCAGCTATTCCCGACCCCCATCGTCGCCGGCCGGGTTTCTGACTGGGAGTCAGACTTCTTCTCTTGAAGGCTCTAAATCCGCCCAACGCACCCTTGATCTCGACCGTGGCGCTGTTCTTCGGAAATCCTCTTCGCGCGGTGACGTCAATACTGGACGCAACCGCTCAACAGAACCATCCCTAGGCCACCGATCAGGTGAGGCACCCCTATGCCACCGACCGGGTGATGCATCCCTGCGTTGTCCGCGCCTTGTAGCAACAAGGACTTCTCTCGCGGGAGCCTGCCTCGTCACCGTCTCCGTAACCCTGCTTGTCAGTCGCATCCCTCTGAGCACATGTTCACGTTCATCCTCGATGCTGCTCATGTTTCCGTGGTCGCCTGTCCGAGATTCTTTGAGATTCTCCCTCGTCCTCTCCCTCCCCATCCGCTCTCTGTCTCCTCCGCCGCGGCAGCATGAGGCGGTGGGCCTCTCAGCTCTCCCATCATCGCGAGCCGTGCGTGTAGACTGATCTGCCCCCCTGGAGAGCAGAACCCCCCATCCACTGGGATCGCGCTTTTCCATACCCCAGTCAGCTCTTGATCCCTCCAGCCCATTTTCCTCAGGGACAGCATTTCGACGGAGCAGGCAAAAAAAAAAAAAGCAGAACTCACCTCGCCCGGGTACCGCACAACGCCCTCAAACCCGGCCACCCCAAATCCCCCCTTCCGAGCGCAGGGGAGCAGCCAAAAAATACCCCTGCCCCTCCTGCTCTCCGCCGCCGGCATCCTGCTGGATCTTCTCCTGCTTCCGCATCCGTACCCGCAGCACGCATCGTCGTCTGCGCCACAGCTCGACCCGTCCTCGTCATCAGACGAAGAGCAGCAGCATGAGCAACAACAGCAGCAGCAGCTCGAACAGGCCGAGTCTGAGGTCGAAGTTTCCGAGTCCGAGCCGACCGTCACGATGTCGTCTTCGTCATCCCCGTAGCCGGACCCGGCCCTGTTGTGGCCGCGGCGAGACATCGGCGGGTGCGAGACGCCTCGGGGCGGCGCCGTCTGCTGGAGGGAGGCTACCGTCTCGGCGACGATGCGGCGAATGTCAGACTCGGTCATGCTTGGCATCTTGGTGTTGCGCGGGGCTCGAGGACGAAGATGGATAGTTCACGCGGACGGAAAAAGATGTGTATAGCATCAAGAAGAAATAAGAACCTCGTGGCAATCTAGACAGACGGCGACATGGCTGCTTGCCCCTCACCTCACTCGGTCTTGCGAGGCAGGCAGCCGGATCCTCCACCACACGAACTGGGCGGCTACCGGCATCCCATAGTGTAACGGCGAGCCAGCGAATCATCAACACATCCCGTCGAAAGGCACGTAGTTCAATGCTCTCATTATCCTGAATGATCATGCGTTGCAAAAATAAAACAGACGGCGCAACCAAGCAGCCGCCATGGCTAAACCGAGGCCCGAACCCGTGTTCGTCTTGAGGCCTCAATACGCCGTCCTGCCTCCGTGTCCGATCCAGTTCTCGCCCATGTTGACCAGGCCTCGAATGCAAGCCCCAAAAACGCCGGTAGACCATTGAACAACACCTTGTCCCCCCCCCCTATCAGTCGTACAGTTATGTGCTCCGTTCACCATCTGTCATCTTCTTACAGGAACCCCTTGGTCAGACTCGGCGCACGACTAATGCTGCTCTTCCGCTTAGGCACGTCGATCATGGAGTTCCTATCATCGTCGATACCAAAGCCCGTCCGCCACATGTTGGGTGGAGCACGCGTGCGCATGCTACCGCCCATGACGGACCCCATCTCCATCCTCATCGACCGTAGGCCTTCTGCCTCCCTCTCGAGACGCAGGGCTCTCTCCTTCTCCTCGCGAAGTTCGCGCTCCGCCCGGCGAGCCGCCAGTTCGATCGCAGACTCGGCCGACTGCAATTCCTCAATGGTCTGCAGCAGCTTGTCGACCTTGTCACGCATCCGCGAAACATCGTCTGATAGCTGCGAGTTTTGCTTGTCCTTGCGGTCGATCTGACTTTGCAAGTCCTTGACGATACGGTCAACGTTACGCACCGATCGTTGCGACTTGGACCTCTCCGTTTCCTGGTCTTCGAGTTGCGATTCCAGCTGTTGCAGCAAGCTCAAGTCAGTGTCCTGCATCATTGGAAAATCTCTTTGGAAACATTGCACTCACCTCTTGGATACGTTTGTGCAAGAATTTGATGTCGTTGCTGGCGCTGGAGTACCCCTTGGTCTCCAGGTCAACGACTTTGATCTGCACCTCGTTGAGTGACTTCTCCAGGGCTGCCTTGGCCTTCTGCAGCTGGGCGCTGGTCTCACGCTCGACCATAGCCTCCTTCTGCATCTCAGAGGCAAGCGATTCAGCGCGCCTCATCTTTTCAATCGCTGCAGCTGTGATATCTTCCTTTTGCGCCAAGCTTGACTTGAGATCCAAAATCTCCTTGTCAGCGTTGGCCGCATCCCGGAGTGACGGGCTATCACCCTTGGCGAGATCCTCAAGGCCAGCCTTAGCCTCCTCGAAACGCGCCTCAAGACTGCGTTTCTCTCGGATGAGCAGGTCCCGCTCCGAGGTCACATCGTCGACAGACGTGCGAAGCGTCCGGACTTGCGAGAGGAGGGACACCACCTTGCTCTGGGCCTCGCCATGGGCGTTGACGGCTTCATCGCGGGAAGAGACAACGTCGGCCAGAGTCGACTCGAGTCGCGCCTTCTCCTTTGACCAAGTTGAGCTGTTGAGAACCTCATCATCCCACTTGGATCGAAGGTCATCCAACTCCTCCCTAAGGCGAGTGATCTCCGCCTGCTTGAATAGCTTCTCTTCGCGAGCTAGGTCAAGTTCCTTCGTGAGAGTCGCAAACTCGGCCTGGTACTTTTTACGTGTCTGTTCCAGGCTTGATTCCTTGTCCTCGATTTCGTTGGCTCTCTGGTTCCGGTAGTCTTCAAGCTCGTGTTGCAGTCTCTTCTTGGCTTGCATTGCGGCATCGAGGTCAGTCGACACATCCTCCACCTTCTCCTCGAGTCTTTGGCTCTGGCGCTGAAGGTCCTCGATGATGCCATCCATCTTCTTGCGTTCCGCCATCGCTTCCGCGCACGTCTCTTCTGCCTCTCGAGCCTGGGCCTTCGCGAACTGCTCAGCCCGGCTGGCTTTGAGCACAGCAATCTCTGCCTGCTCAAGCTTGCTGAAGTACTCGTCAGAGCGGCCCTTGTAGAGGTTGAGGCTTGACGATAGATCTGCCAGCTTCGAAGTCTCGGTATCTAGGCGAATCTGAAGATCAGAAAACTCTTCCAGTAACTGGCTGCGGCTGGCGGCCTCTTGCTCTCTGGCCATGGTCATTTCTTGCAGGTCCGACTTGGAGTCGCGTAGTTCGACTTCAAGGCGGGCTCGCTCGTGACGCATCTTCTCAAAGTAGGTCTTCACGTCGGTGAGCTCCGAGACAGCGTTCTTGTGGCTATGTAGCAGAGACCTTCGTGAATCCTCTTGGCTGTTGAGCACATCAAGAATCTCCTCATGTGAGCGGGTCTGGATGTCGCGCAGCGAAAGTTCTCCGCTGCGGATGCTCTTTTCAAGAGCAGAGACCTTGGCAGTCGAGTCGTCGAGCATACCGTGGAGTCTTGAGTTGGCCTGTTCCAGTTTTTGCATGCGACGCATGGAAGGGCTTTCGTCAGAGTACGTCTCTGGAACGGGGGTGCTGCGGTCCACTTGGCTCTGAAGATGACGGTTTTGCATATGAGCCAACTGTAGCTGATTTTGGAGCTCCTCGACCTCAGTCTTGAGATCCATACGGTTGTTGAAGCTTAAGAGATCTGCAGTGCGGTCCGAGCGAGCCGAATCGAGACCTTCACTATCAATGGGCGCGTGCCGACGAGTGGGAGTCGAGGTGTTGGAAATCTTTCGGGCGTGTGCCTTTGACCGCCTTTGCGTTGGTGAACCGGTGAAGGGAGCCTCATTAGGATGGATCTCCTCAAGCTTCGGCCGCATGGGCGATTCAGACCGTGCTGCGCGTAGATCGGCAAGCTGCGATTCGGCATTGGCCCTTGCCGTAGCCTGTACGCGAAGATTTTGCTGCAAATCCTCTACCTTGCGGACAAGGTCATAGTTTCGTGCAATATTCCGGTCTTGAGTGCTGTCATCCTGCATGGGAGGCATGGCATCAGGCTCCACGGTCTTGAGGATTTGCAACATTTGAGTACGCAGCTCCTCCAGCTCCTTCTCTCTGGAGTCCAAAGTCGATTGCAGCGTCCGAACTGTGCTTTGAGCTTGGCCACGGAGCTGTTTCTCCGAATCCAGAGCCCGGTTTACTTCGGCAAGTTGAGCAGCTGAGGTTGACGTAGCTTTCTCGGCATTGCGTGACTGTTTGGTCTCTCTGGCAACTTCATGGTTGAGATCCTCCACGTTGAGCTGCAACTTTTCTGCCTTCTTTTCCAGGCCAGCGATCTTGAGTTGTGCGTCACCGAGTTGCTTGTTAAGCTTCACGTTCTGCTCCTCAATGCGGGTTTTCTCACGCTGCAAAGAAAGAACCTGCCCACGGGAAGCGTCGCTGGCCCTTGAAGTGGAGCGTGCGATTTCAAGACCCTTCTGCTGCAGCTTATTGAGTAAAGCCCTGTTGTCGTTTTCGGATGCTGTTAGTCGGCTTCTGACCGTGGTGAGCTCACGCTCGAGTCTTTCTTTAGCCTGGTCATTCTTGAGGCCGAACTCTCCTGACGACAAGATGAGCTTGTTGAGATCTTCGACTTGGTGGTTGAGCTTTGCACACTCTTCCTCAAACCAAGTCAGACGTTCCTGGGCAGCAGTCAAGTCCCCGCGGAGACTCTCTTCACGTTCCCGAGCGACGCGCGATGCGGCTCGCTCTCCAGCCACCTCCGCCTGGATACGTGCCTCCTCCGCTTGCGTCTTGGCCACTCGGAGACGTCTGATTTCCTGCCGAGCCTCATCTCGCTCTGATTCTGCCGTCGCACGAGCCTCCATGGTTCTGCGCAACGTATCTTGTTGGACATAGAGCTCCTTTTCGATGATGATCTTGGACTCGTTCAAGCCATCAAATTCTTCCTTCAAGGCGTTGTACTTATGGTCGCTAAGCAGCAGAACGTCGTCACGAGACTGTCGTTCCCGACTCAGCTCCACCTGAACGCCATACAGCTGGTCCTTGAGATCCTTGATTTGAGATTCGAGAACTTGGCGGTTCTCGTCGGCCTGCGCGTCTTCAGAAAGGCGCGCCTCAAGTAGCTTCTTGGCGTCCTCGGCTTCTCGTTCGAGTTGCAACTTCTGCGTTTTCATAGCCGTGATTTCGGCTTGAACATCGTGTAGCCTAGCGGATATCTTTTCCTTGTCTGCAGCCATTGCCTTCTTCTGCTCTTCGAACGAACGTCGCTCCAGTTCATATTTCTTATTCTCGCTTCGGATGAAAGTAAGTTCACTTTCCTTCTTACGAACAAGGTCTTCGTAATCGGTCGAGGTTTTGGAGAGTTGGGAGAGCTGCTGCTGTATGTTCCGGTTCTCGTGAAGGAGCTGCGATTCCTTGGATTTGGCTGATTGCAAGTCCTTCTGCGTCGACATGAGCTTGACGCCCAGGTCCTGGTCAACCTGGAGCAGTTTGCCTTCCAGGTCCCGAGCTTTCCTATCCTTGAGTGCGAGCTGACTTTGAAGCATCTTGATTTCATCTTCCAAGGCTGCCTCTTGCTCACTCCTTTCCGATTGCTTGTGGGAAGTTTCCTCGATGGATGCTTCAAGCTCGACAGTACGCCTGGAGAGGTGTGCCTTTTCATCCTCGAGACGAGCAATGAGCGAGGCAGCCTGCTCGAGCTGTGATCGATACTTTTCGACGTCCTGCTCAGCTAGTTTCTTGGCAGCGAGCAGATCGTCCAGTTGATCCTCAAGGCGCTCTTGGTCGTCGATAGCGCCTGCGAGCTTCTCCTCAAGTTCGGTTTCGCGCAGTTGCAGGCGTTTGAATATCTCCTCTTTATCAAGAGCCAGAGCTCTCTCGCTCTCAAGCGTTTTCTGAACACGAAGCATCTCGGTATGGACATTTCTCCTCTCGTCTTCCAGCCTTTGGCGGTCTGAAGCTTCTTGTTGGATTTTGTCGTGGAGTTGACGAATCATTGCGTCCTTCTTCTTCACCTCAGTGGAGCTTCGAGTTGCCCCGAGAAGCGGCTTCATCTTGACGAGGAGCTGCCACCAGGGACTATCTACTAAGTCGAGATAAACATGGAAGTTTCTTTGCACGATTCGCGTGGCTTCAGTCCGGAATAGCCGTTTGAACGCAATCCGGCGCTGGATGTAACCTCGAGCCACAGACTGAAACCTTGCCATGATGTCGGTGATCAGTGCATCGCGCTGCTCCTCCAACTCAGCAAGAACACCAGCACGGAAGAAGACCTTCGTAAGGCCTACACGGTAAAGCGTCTTGTCCAGTGAGAGCTTGTCCAACATCAAGGCAGCAGCAGCCTGGCCCTCGAGATACCCATGTGGCATATCTCGGCAGAGCACCTCGTAACGCTGGCGGAATTCTGCGAAGGGGAGACGGTTCGGGAAACCAGTTCGCGCGATGCGGATGCCCTCTAGAACACCATTGCATCGCAATTGGTCCAGCACCAAGGGCCCGTTAAATTGCTTAGGCTTCTTTTTGTGGTTGGGCAGAATACACCGAACGAAATGGGGATGCGTTGAATGGAGCTGGGTCATCAGGTTATGCAGCTGCTCCTTGTGTCGCTGGGCGACGGTGCGGAATAGACCTCTCTTGACGCGGCTCCGACCACCAGTGGCATCGTTGTCTGTATCAGCGCAATCCGCGAAGAGGTTGGCAACGTGCTTGTCCGTGGATTCTGAAAGCAGCCGCGTGATGTTATCGTTCAATGGATCCTTGTTCTTCTCCAGCCAGCCCTGTGTTGAGTACTCAACCTCGGCGGCGTAATGTGTGAGCACGAAGCCCTGGCCGAGTCGGGAGGATCTGTACTTGTTTGACTTCTTGTCCCACAACGAGTTGAGCTTCTCCGTGAACGATTTATCGGTGGCTTTAGGCATGACGCAGTCTTCATCGAGGCACGAGAAGATGCCGATGGGATTCGAAACCTCAATGAGGTCAATCGTGGGCTGTAGATCACGTCCGAAGTCGATGAACTGCCACTCAATCTGTTCGCGAGCGTACTCCTCTTGCTCGAGCACGAACATGTGGTGGTTGAAGAATTGCTGCAGCTTCTCGTTCGTGTAGTTGATGCACAGCTGCTCGAAGCTGTTGTCGTCAAAGATCTCGAAACCAGCGATATCCAACACGCCGATAAAGTGCGAGTCGTCGAGGCCCATACCGGTTCTGTCAAGCTGTTGGTTGATGCGAGTGACCAAGTCACCAAAGCCGCGTTCGTAGATACCTTTGGCGAGAGCATCAAGACTAAGCCGAACTTGTTCGGGTGTTTGTACTTTCTCAACCCATTCCCGACCAGCCTTGACTCTTGGGTGAAGGAGGCCCTTGAGAAATGGCTCTAGGGGAACTCCGAGCAACTTACAGACCTTCGCGGCTTGCTCCTTGGCATCGGGGGCCAGCCTTGCTTGATCGGCGGCACGGCTTTCCTTGACAACTGAGATGTTTCCAAGGTGCAGGATAGCAGCAATTGTACGAAGAATAGCAGACTGATCTTTGTCGGAGAAGTTCATAACGTCGAATGCCTCTATGAGCGACTCCCACTCGGCACGGTCCGAAACTCCGGTGATTGTATCGTGGCCATTACGAGTGTATGCAAAATCCTCAACGTCCAGCCCGTCCAGAAGAAAATCTTGCTTCATAGCTCGATCGGAGCCTTTCAAGAGCTGGTAGAAAATATGATAGTTGCGCTCATGTGAGTTGATTCCGACAACTCGTGACTTCTCGAGAAGATACCAGTCAATGAACGCGCCAGCGATCGAGCCATTGCGATTGAATTCAATTCTGATGAATTTGCCAAATCGAGAAGAGTTGTTGTTTCGGACTGTTTGCGCGTTGCCGAACGCTTCGAGAATTGGGTTCGCCCGAAGAATCTGCTGAGAGAGGTTGGACTGCTGAGATCGAGCCTTGGCCGGAGACTCTGAGTGCGCAACGGCGGCGAGATACTGGATAACCTTTTTGGTGTTTTCGGTTTTTCCAGCGCCTGACTCACCCGTCACCAGGATACTTTGATTCTCGCCTTCGTCTACAAGGTTCCGGAAAGCCTGGTCGGCCATGGCATAGATGTGAGGTTTCGTATCCTCGCGGCTCCTGCCTTTGTACATACTGATGTATTCATTGGTGTAGATTGGTAGTGGGCAGTAGGGATTGACGGTGACGAGGAAGAGGCCAGAGTATGTGTATATCAGGTCGGCTTGGTATCGCATTTGAAGGTTGTGAACGACCGATGCTTCGTTCAGGTGTGTTAATTCGGCCATATCGTTTGCCTTGTCGAACTTGGCAGGGTTGACCTTGTCGACGCTGTCGCCGTCGACCTCGCGTTGCTGTGACGTGCATTAGCATCTCAACGGTTGTGAGTACTCGGTTCACTCACTGTCCCATCGTCACATTGGACCAAAAGCGTGTTCTTGCCCAATTCTTCTACAACCCAGCCTTTGACGAATGCTGTTTGCGGGTCCTTAAGCCATACATAGCGTTTGCCAGAGAAGTCATTCTCGCCCTCGATGCCTTTCACTGCGTCGGCCCCGGTACCGCGCTGCATTTCTTCCGTCTTGATGAACGACGGCGCAAAGGTGTTGGATAGAGGCGTGCCGTTCCGCGAGTCACTCCGTGAATGCCGATGCGACCCGCCCGCTGATGCCAAGGGGGGGTTGAAGGATGTATGTGACTGTGTGCGCGCATGGCCCGTCGGTGTCGAGACATTGGAAAGCGGCGAAGGTGAAGAGAAAAGGGTGGACTTTGGCCGACTGTCGCCTGGTCCTGGGGAAGGTGAGGCCGAGGCCGAGGCCATTCTGGCAAAAGGGTTGTTACGTATCGACATGGTGGGTGGTTGGGCGGGTACTGTGAGAGATCCTGCTGCTCAAAGCCACCTAACAGCTGGGAAACCTGGCTGTCACTGCTGTGGTCCGACTTCCGATCCGGCTGCCTATACCTGCAGGGAATACATAGAGGCTTCGGGGTGCGCGGCGGGTTCGTTAGGATCGAGGCACGAGACTCTGACTCGGCTTAAGCAAGTCAGGGAAGATGAAGTAGAAAGAATCGTGTACAGTCTCGGGCAGTAATAAAAGTCGAGGAATGAGAAAGACAGTGTCAATCGCGTGCGCGTGGCGGTGATGTAAAAGGTGGAATTGGAAAGGAGGACAAGGTAGGCATCTCACGCCCAAGTCGTGTTGACGTCGATCGTCAGGGATTGGTTGCTCTGGACCACCCACATCCCCAAAGTAAACAAACCCAGGAGCGACCTACACGTGACGTAGGCGCTCCGCCAAGACAGGCCCCCGAACCAAACGGGTAAGTGGCTCCTCGTTCCAAAAGGACCCAGTGGTGTGCTTATGTAATATTTGCTGTGGACGTCACCAGCTAACCCAGGGTCGCTTTGGTGGTGGATGGACCGATCGGAAAGAAACACAGCCAGTACCGGCCGAACGTCGCATTCAGTGTTTCGGGGCATCTTCAGCAGGATGTCTAAGTTATCGAGGGATCTCTGAAATGTGCGATGGTGCGGATTTTCGCAATTTACAGTCGATCAAGATTACCTCAAACGACAACATAACGCAACTCACCAACAGCCATGACCAATGTCGATAGAAACCCTTCTGGTGACAACTTCTTGGGAAGGCCGACTATTCATAAATAACTACGCGACTTTCTCACGAATATTCTCGCATGATACATGTGGTCAAGTTCGGAGAATTCGTACGCAAGGTATCCATTGCCAAGTATGAATTGTACTCTTGAGGACTCGGGGTCAGTTGTGAGGCTGTAAAAGTATGAACAGTGGGGAAGCAAACAGAGTGAGCTCCAGCAGCCTACCCCGTAGAAGGCCTTGATTCTATATTTCATCATTAGAGGCCTGGAAGTCCCCAAAGCAAGTTGTTTGGCGGCAATATCGAGAGCGACAGGGGACGAGACAGTTGTCACCAGCTTCAAAAAAAAAGAAAAAAAAAAGCTATGAGGTCTCCAAGAACAGATATCTCGAGCTGTCTAGTATCTCTCTCCACGAGAAGAGCCGAGCAGCCCAAGAAGCGCCGAGAGGACAAAATGCTGAAAGATTCTGCGTTTGCCTGGTATGCTGTCATGCTCTAGGGAAGCGCAAGTAAAAGCGATCGCTTTCGTGATCTAGGTGTGGTGAGACGTTTTAAGAATATCTCTTTAGGCCGCAGTGACTGTCGGCTTCCCAAATTTCCTTGGAAGCACTCACAGTGGCATACAGGCTATCGAGCGCCTGTCGTGATGTGGTTGACAGGTCAAGCTCGTTGCTTTCGATCGACAGGGTTCGGTGCAGTATATGATGGAAGACATCAGGTGGCACAGTAGTAGCCTTTGATGTAGATTGGACTCTCCGGTGAGTATGCACATGTGTTCAATGGAAGGTATTCCATGTCTCTTGTGAATTTCCACTATGAGAAACCACGAGAAATGCTTTCAATTAAAGCGCAATTGATCGCGCATCTTTTTCTTAAAGCGACAAAGCGAGGGCCAGCTCAGAAAGGGGTAGTCTTGTCCCAGTTCTGTTGTTCGGGCTTGTCCAACTGCGTGGTGGGTTGCCCAATAGCTCTTTTAGTGAAGAGCGAGACCCCAGCGTCCTATAACGCCCATCCATCCCATCGGTCGACATCATGCATTGCAAGTTCTGGCTATCAGAGCAGACACACGCTAGTCCTAATAAGGACAACTTATGGTGGTGAACCAGAGAACGTGTGACAGCATGGAACAAGCGCCAGCAGGGTGCCTTTAGGGACTAGCGTGCCAAGGTTGAGACTTCGAGACCCTCTCATTTCTGAAATGCCCGTCACTCGCGAATTCTTTCACCCTCACACATCGGCTTGCCTCGCCCCGTCCACGCTCGCTGCATCTCGACGCTATACCCGCGATACATTAGCTGCTAGTCTGCCTTGTTTGCCCAGAGCAGTCTTGGTCTCGAACGAACCAGACGTGTTTGATGCGCCTTGATGCGCGCGTCTGGAAACCTCGAATCAAACCGACCCTCTGTAACCAGCGAGAGCGACCAGCGATATTGGGCCGGTCGAGGGTCTTCACAGCATACGCGAACCATTCGGTCGCCGAACGCGTCATCGAAACTCTCTCTCTCGTGCATCCACTTGACGATTTGTACACTCCACCACAATATCCACGCGTGGATCCTTCGTATCGCGACTTTCCTTTTACGCTCTGAGCGCGCGATCATTCTTCGGCACGCAGCGAGTTACTTGTAGCTGGACATCATCGCATGATCCCTACCTCGGGTGTCGTTGAACTCAATCCCGCGTGCTAGCTGACTCTGCACCAGCTCACCATGACTTACAACTCTTATTACGGAGGTGTCCCATACCAGGGACAGTCTTCCTATGCACCTCCGTTGTATCCAGCTCAACCGACCTACTCCCAGCCAGCTCCAGGCCAGCCCCCGCCCAACGGCAATGCCTTTCCCAGCTTCAACATGGTGTCTGCACAAGCTTCCTACGAGCAGAACAGGAGCGTCATCCCCGGTCTTGCGTTTGGTGCTCCGACGAGTGACGTGCCTGCGCCATGGCCACAAACACACCAGGCAACCCACGCGCAGCCGTCGCACGAGCCCAACCTAGTGCCCGCCTCCCAATACTATCAGCCGCGTGGTGGTCGCTCCAATGGAGCCTCGAACAAGCGTAGCGAGCAGCCTGGAAACGGGTTGAAGAGCCAACATGCAAGCGACAGGGCAGAGGAAGGCGAATTAAGCGAGGGCGAGTACGACGATCTGTACGAGCCAACTGTGTCTAATCAGCAAGATCAACAACACCAGGACAACAGTGCTCAGTCTGGCAAAAAGGTCTGGCCTGATGTTGCGGCGGGTCCCGGTGATGCTCCCACGACAGGTACGGAAGGACTGTTTCCAACGAGGCCCCTGACGTGAAATACTAACCTAAGCGCCCAGGACGAGATTCTTACTCCCCCTACCTCTCTCCGCATGAGATTCAACCTGCCCTGAAGCCTGGAATGTCTCGAGCCACCGTTCGAACCAAGGAACAGCCGTCCCACTCGACCGCCAGTCGAGTTGCGGCAGCACCCCCAACTGCTCCTTCTGCAGATGTCCTCCTTCAGGCCAAAACCAAGGCACGCTCCGCGATCCTAGGCCTCTGGTCGCTCGACGTGAGATACGATGATTTTGTTTCTGAAGGTATTGATAAAGACTTGGTCAGGGTGCTTTTCAACGACCTTGGCCTGGATCCTGTCCCCGACTCGCATCCTGTCAAAGATGGCGGACTCAGCTCCCATATCCCTGGCCTGTCTTCTTCAAGCCATATTCAGGAAACTCGTCCGGTCATGCCTCAAAGCAATGTCCCGCACATTACACAGCCATCGGCCTCGGCCAACAGCTCAGCCAACGAACCAGTTGTAGCTGCCACAGGCAAGGCAGAGGAACGGAAAGATCGGATTGCCCGACTTCTTGCCGCAAAGCAAGCATTGTCTGGAACAACCACAGCCGTCGTGTCGACAGGAACAGTAGGAGCTGAGAATAGCAACGAAAAGCAGCTGAAACTGCAAGAAAAGATGGTGGCCTTGCAAAAGTCTCGCGAAGCCCGTGCCCAGAAGGCAGCCTCTCGAAAGGGTTCTGAAGCAGCTCAACCCGTGCCCCCTGCGACCACGAACGGCTTGCCCTCGATCCCTCCGCCGTCATTGTCCGTCACATCAACTCCCACTCACCCATTGCCTGCCAAGGTGGATATCCCCGTCCCCGATTCCGCGCGGTCTGTCATTCCCGGCCTCTTCATGCCGTCTACTTCTCAGCACGCACAGTCACCCAGCAATCAGCGAAAACGACCTGTCGCAACCGACTTTGATGGCTATGCCCAAGCAAACATCCATACGCGCCCTCTTGGCCCGTCGCGCAAGAGCAAACTTGTGATCGACGTTAGTGAAGGGTCAGATGACGACGTCGAGATGGAAATTGGCTCTGGCGACGAGTCCAACACTAATGTGCAGTCCTCTGACCATCCTTTCCGGAGAACTACTTCGTTCCGTGATGTCCCACCTCTGTCAGAGCCTGCAGGCCAGCGACAATTTTCCGATACTGGCCCTGCCCGCGTTGCTACGCCTCCTGGTCACCTGGCAGTTATGGACAAGCAGATCGAGGCTATGAAGCGCAAGATCGCTCTCGCCGAAGCGCGCAAGAAACTCAAGTCTGCCCTCAGTGGGAGCAATGGACAAGCTGCTTTGCCAAAATCGGGCGGCCCCACCCCGGACACGGCAGCAGATTCGGATACCGCGACGCCTTCTCTTCGTCGCGTGCAGTCCCTGGACCCGTCGCTTAGTGTGGGCAGCAACACAAATCGTTCGTCCCCCGTTGCGCCAGAAATGGGCTCAATCAAGCTCCCAAAGAATCGCGATATCGCCAGGTCTGGTTCAGATCGCTTGCAGCGCGTACGCGTCCTGAGTCAAAGCTTGCCAGGCATGCAGTCAAGACTGCAAGCCAAGAAATCCAAACTTCGACTGCTGCAGTCACAGATGGCACGTCTGGAGAAGGAGATCGAGCAGGAGGACGCTGAGAAGCGCTCCGCCGAGGATGAACTCGACGGCCTGCAAGAACTTGTAGCATCGGGTAAGTCGAACAGCATGTATTTCATGTGTTTTATTCGTCCATGTCGTACTAATGCCATGCAGGTGAAGATGAACCCCCTTACTCACCGGATGGGGCGCGCAGGGTAACAGCTCAAGAGTCCATTGTTGATGATGCTGAGACTGCCTTGCAACGTACTTCGACAATTGCCGATAAGGGCGCAGACAAAGAGGATACCGACGGAGGCGTGGAAATCCCCTCTTTGGCGCGAGATAACGATGCCGGGAAGACTGTCGAGCTAGTCACGCCCTTGGCCTTGGAGAATTTCGCGGGTGGTCAGACTGATCCGGCTATCGCTGCCCAGCACACGCCCGGACTTGAGGTGGCTGCAGAAGCTCCCAAGAAGTCGAGCCCCGACACAGGAGTTTCAAGTGGTGCATCGCCTGTACCCGTGACGGGTGACAGCCATGCTAGCAATGTACCAGATCATTCCGACCATCCGTCTCCAGCAGCGGCCTTGTCTACGGCTGGCTCAACTGGAACAGGCCAAGGCAACGAAAGTGGAAATGAGGAAACTGATATGCAGGTGGACTCACCTTCAGGTGAATCAGACGATACAGTGGCCGTGATTGACGATGAAGACGTGCTGCCGCTTACAGGCCCAGGGATCGGCTCGCAGTCCCCCTCGGTTGATGTCTCCACCCAGCCGGTTCAGATATCTGTTGGCATTGATGAGTCTCATCCGGATGAAGGTCTCAACAACAACGCAAGAGAAGTACAAGTCGGGTTCCAAATATTGGTGCACTCAAGTGACTAATTGTTCGATAGCCACGCCCCGCTCGCCAGGACGGTCGCAGCTCAAGCGAGAACGGCTTTAGTCCCTACGAGAGTCCCTTCCAGTTGTTCCGCAACTACCGTTACCATCCTGACTTCCAGAAAATGGTTGCTGGGGGCTTACGATCGCTTACATACAGCAATAAGATCGACCCCAATCTTCCAGTGTGTCCAGATCAACTAGATGGTCGGAGGTGCCCCAAGGGTCGGAATGCGAGTACCAGCATTTCGAATCCATGAAACTGCCTGGTAAGCCACGTCCCGTGCGAACCGTCTGACCAGCTCTAGCTATCTGTTCCCCTTTCACGAGGACGCTGACGTTCCCCTCTTTCGCTTCATTAGACGACCAGATCCTCCTCCAGCTCGGTGGCACCAACGTTGACGGACCCATGAGGGTTCAGTACAATAACGGCTTGCGAGAGCTCTTGCAAGACATGAGACAGCGCAACATCAAGGACTTCCCTAGCATCGCGCAAGGGATTGTGGATTACCACAACCGCTTCACGGGCGATCCATCTCGGATCCTGACCCTGGGCGATGTTCTGATCTAATGACCACAGGACGGCAATGCCTGCTAGACGTGTACATTGCTCCCTTGCGCAACGATTGTTGTGAGGGCCTTTCCATACGCCCGAGTATCGGCCCCCTCTGGGGGTTTCGAGGCGTTCGCGCCTGACCTTGCCCGTATCTTTCTTCTGAGATCTTTGCGTCTTCCATGATACCCCGACCGGTACAGGACGAGGTTCTTCATTAGATACCCATATTTTCTAGCACTTCTTTTCTTGCGGTGATTGGAGACGAGGTGTATGAGGAAGCGAAACAACAGAGAAAGGCCTAAGAGGCCTCGTAAGATGGCGCATCGGCCCACAAAGCCTCGACTTCGTTGGCATGCACGTGCCCCAGTCCAGGGTCCAGACTAGCTGAGACAGCCAGCAGATGAGGCGGCTGCAAGTAGCGAGCAAGAGTAATCAATGAAATGCAATGAGCCACGTTTGGAAAATTTAAAATGAATAAATAAACAAGTTGACAGCTCAATCTGGTACGCCCTGTACTGATGGATGATGACGCTTGCGGTGAAATACGTTCTCGTCGGTCACCCAACCGTTCGTGATGTTATGAGTAGAAATGTACAACTGGTATAGACCAGATTTCGGCCATTGTGAGCGGTGTTGACAGCGCCCACCCGCCTTCGTCGCGGTCATTCGAAAGCCAATGCCCTTGACGCCTGTCTTGCCCTCCATGCTTTAAAGGAACCACCCCTAATCGTACATGCGTGCTGCGGCTGCTTGCTACCTCCCAGATTTGAGCTGCTCGGCGAGCTGCTGCCTCCTGTACTCTTCGTTCTCGACCTCCCTCCAGTCCTTGGGCGCCGGCTCGTTGCCGTCCGTCTGGCCGCGGCCGCCGGCAAAGGCAGGACGGCCGGCGTACAGCTGGTACCCCTTGCCGTCCTCGGCGTCGGCCATGGTCTTGTAGGCGACGGGCATGTTGCCGCGGAAGCGCTTGCGCATGTCGACCATGCCGCGCTTGCACTCGCCGAAGCCCTTCTTGAGCTGCTGGCACTTTGTCGGGAGCTCGTGGACGAGGGGCGGGCGGAGGCAGTCGGCGGCCGTGTTGCGCTGGACCATGACGCAGTCGGATTCCTGGAGGCACTGGGCGAGGGCCTCGCCTGGAACAAGCGGTTAGCCAAGACGACGGACGGACAGACAGCGAGAAGACGTGGGCGAAACGTACGGAGTTCTTTGCACGAGCTAGGCATGGCTGTGGTTTTCGAGGCTTGGCGACGCGGGAGACGCGGGTTTGGACTGACTGGGGGACGACTGACAGGTGGACCGACTTTTGGATCGACCGACTTGCGATGCGACTCTTGCACACTCGAATTCCGACTCCTTATCTTATCGTCACGTGCTCTCGGTGGGTACACCAGACTTTCGTGGCCCAACGGTACTTCATTCATCCCGAACGGTCGCGGGCATGGAGCAGTGCTTATACTTATGACGAATGATGGAGAAGGCAACTCTGGGTGTGCTCATGACCATTACCTTCTCTGCGTGTTGCAGCCCGGCCTAGCCTCAGCTCAACGTCGTGATGCTTGCTGGTGCTGCCCGAGGATATGGAATAATGTGATTGGTGTAGACGGGACTCCATCCTGTCGCCTTCTGATTGATTGGGTTTGTGTCGCATGCCGGGGATCAGGGTTGCTCACACCAAGACCACGCGAGCTCCACAGACCTGCCATGTCAGTATCGTTCAAGGCTTGGAGGCTTGGGAGCTTGGGAGCTAGATCAAGCCCGGATCTTCACATGTGACATCACCCATACTTACCTGCACTGCAGCTGCGCCCGCCGCCGACCTCAACGACGCTTATGCACTCGTTCCCCCAACGCCGCCTTTGCTCCAATTCGTTTCCTCCGCCCTTGACGTCGCCGAGTCTCGATCATGACTGATATACTATCCAGCCCATACATCATCGTCCACGGACACACAACCTTGGACTCTTGCTGTTTCTTTCCCCCC